GGTAAGATGCTTAATTAGACTTAATTAACATAAGTTATTTAATTTAAATTTAATAATATAGAATTAATAAATATTTATATTATATGTGAGATATCAAAAAATTTAATTTTTTGGTGATTATACAAAAAAGAAGTGAATTTCATATTTAAATATTGTTAAATTTAATAATTATAATATGAAATTAATGTAATATATTAATTATAATATAAGTGAAAATAAAGAATATGTATTTAAAATATTAGTATGTATAATTTTTTTTATTAGACATTTTGAAACATCAACAACAAAAGTTAAGTTGTTGAAAGCATTGAGGATTACTATTCAGCTCACTATCAGCAACAAGGAGTATGTTGCTAATAGTATACTTATAATCACCATCAACTAGTCCCTCCTAACTTTTAGCAACATAAGTCATGTTGCTGAAAATCTAGTTTCAGCAACATGGCTTATGTTGCTGCAAAATGAGGCCAAGTTTCGGTCATCAGCTTACCATTAATTTTTAGTAGTTTACCACTAATTTTTAGCAACATGAGCCATGTTGCAGAAACCCCATCTTCAGCAACGTGGCTTATGTTGCTGAAGAGGGTGAGGAAATTCACCTCCCCTCCCCACCGGATTCCAATGAAAGTTTTTAGCAACATAAGTTATGTTGCTGATACTTTTTTTCCAGCAACATAGCTTATGTTGCTGATATATTAGCAACATGATTTTGGTTGGTAATGTATTACCCACCAAGCTTTCTCTAATAAAACTTTTAACAACCAAACTCATGTTGTTGAAGGACTTTTAGCAATATGGAAAGCATTTTCGGCAACATGAAAAGCACTTTCGGCAACATGCTTCCATGTTGCTGAAAGCTTGAATTTTAGTAGTGAAAAGAACGGGGTTTCTTGGAAAATGCCTACTTTAGAAAAAGCAGGGGAAAGATGTTCGTCGACAATAAAAGAAACTCGAGCAACCTGAAAAAACAATAACAAATAAGCTGATTGATAGCCTCACATCCACATGGGCGACAGAAGTTTTGTCGGTAAAGGCAGCTGAAAAAGATAACATTTTTTATTTGAGTGATGTCAGGAAAGGGTCTTAAAATCAAAAATCTTCCACCCCAAGCGCCTTGGTGAAGGGTGAAAACCATACCATGTTCCATCCCTCTTAATTTTTATTATCCGTCTTTCTAATCTGTACTGTT